AGGCGGCAGGGATGCTGCAGAGGTTGGGCTCTGCTCGCCTGCGTGTAGACCTGTGGGAACCACGTTCTCCTCTTCCTTACCTGGAGCACGGGAACCCCACGCCGAGGTTTGTGCAGTGATGCGAGTGACTCCTGGCCAGACCTCAGCCCCAAGCACAGGGGTTTCCACTCGCTGTCTTCCAAGCCCAAGCCTCTCTTGAAGGCTGCTTGCCAAAAAAAAAAAAAAATCCTTTTCTGTGTTCTCCGGGGGTGGGATGCACTGAGGCTGTGATACAACTGGTCTCCACAGTCCCTGCCAGGGCTCTGGGCCGGAGAGGCTCCGGTTTGGTGTAACATAATTGCTCTTTCCCATAGGCCGTGACTCTAAAGGGTCCCCAGTGGTGTGGAAACAGAACCCCAGATCGGCAGCGTGGTGGCCGGAGCCCCGATGCTCTCCCCGTTGCGTGGGGCCCTGTTCCACCTCCACTTTGTCCTGCTCGGGCTCCTGAATAATGGAAGGGCTGTAAGTGGATCCGGCCCTGCTCTCTGGTTTCCCCAGGGGAAACACGGATGTTTGGCCACCGCCCTGGCGTCGCTCTGCGCCTCTCCTTGCCGGGGATCAGGTGTCGGACGGGAGCTGAGCCGGGGCAGGGTGAGGCTGGGTGCTGCAGGGAGGGTGGGCAGTACCTGCGGTGGGGCCCCTTGGGTCTGTCCCACCCCCGTGCTCGGCTCCAGCCCCAGCTGGGAGGACTGGTCCTGCCCGAACCCCCACGCTGGGTCTGTGCCCACGCAGCCAGGTGCCCATCTCAAAACAGCCTTTGCACCCTGGGGCTACTCTCTCTTCTCCAGTTTATTCTAAGGACAAGCTAAAATATAATGGAATATTTTGGTCAGAAGGAATAAAATTGTGCCTTTTAGCCCCATTTAAGTCACCTCTCTCTTCCCCAGGAAAATAATAATTACTATTTATTATTCAGTGAGCAGGAAGTGTGTGCACCAGGTTTTGGGCCAGAGGAAGGTTTGCGAGCGGCTCTGGTTGTGCCTGAGTGCTGAGGCTGGGCCGGGGCCCTCGCCAGGGGGGACAAGGGGAAAGGCCCTTTCCCTGCACCCCAACCGACATTTGGGATTTGCCCTGCAGCACCAGGGGGTGGCAGGATGGGCTGCCTCGGGCTGGGCTTGCTTTGGAGGGAAAAAGAACCCAGGGCCACGTCGTGGTGGGCACCAGGGGATGTGTCCTGGGCTGTGGATTCCTCTCCCACTCTGGGCAGGCTCATGGATGTGCCTGGAGAGGGTCAAATCCTGCCCTAGCTCTGCTAGATGGCATGTGGGGACTGAAGGGGGATTCTGGTGGACTTGCCGCACCCCGTAGCAGTGCTGCGTGGTCCCTGAAAGCCACGTTTCCATGGCAGGGCTGCCCGCCGCACCCCAGAGCATTGGGGACCCCAGGTCCACCCTGGGCCCCCGCCCTCCCCTTCCTTCCTGTGAGGGCACGGAGGACTGAGCCCGAGTTCCTTCCTGCACAGCGCTGGGGGCCACGGGGCATCTGCAGTGAGAAAAGCCATCCCCATCCTGCAGCTGCTGCTGGTTGTTTCGACAGCCCACGTGAGGCACTGAGCCCCACGTCCCTTCCTTGCTCTGCTGGGTTGCACCGTCCTGGCTCCCTTGGCCCCTCCCGGTGTCTCCCAGCCCCTTCCCGGGTGCGAATGCCAGACTGCCCCGGCTCCAGGGCAGGCAGGGCGTCCCCACCGACCTCCCCGAGGCCCCGTGGGGACAGAGCCATTGGCGTCCCATCATAGGAATTGAAGGATTTAAAAATCAGTGTGGGAAAGGCAAAAGCGAGCGGATCTGGGAGCCTGCGGACGTCTCTTCTTCTCCTTCCTGGTGGCAGCGCCAGCTTCCTGCCCTACCTTTGTCCTCGCAGACGTGTTCGAGGCCAGCGGTTCCGTCTGAACCGAGCAGCCAGGGCCGGAAAGCAGCGTGGGGGATTTGTAGAAGCTGGAGCCCGGGAAGAGACGTTTGGGCCTTTCCAAAGGTAGAAGTCCAGGCCAGTGAGGAGAGGAGGGAAATGGGATCCGCGCTTCTGTGGATAAACGGGGAGGAGGAGGTGGAGGGGAAGGGAAGGGTCTTCCTCTCTGGGTGTTGCGGGTGAGTTGCTGTGTCAGCGATGGGCAGCGCCTGGCTCTGAGCTGGGTGCAAGTGCTGCTGTTGGGTGACTCATGGGTGCTCTGGGGCCGTGTTCCCCGTGCGGGTCTGGAGGAGGGGAGTGGGGGGAGAGAAATGAGGCTTGGAGGGTGGAGGAGCTGCGGCCAAACTGGGCCCTGGGGAAGGGCCCCACATGGTGCACGTTGGCTCGCAAGGATGGAAGGGGCTTTGTCCCCAGCCAGGGCTGCGCTGCCCAGAGCTCCAGCGAGGAGCTGGGGGGTGAGGGGAAACCGTGGTGCCCCCGTGGGGTACATTTTGGGTGGGATCCTGGCAGCCAGCTCTGCCCTGGCCCCGGGGCGTTGGGGGTTGCAGCTCTGGCTCAGCAGCCCTGGAGGTTTCTCCCATCTCAGCACAAGGGCTGGAAAATAAACAGAGGCAGAAAGACGCGACAGCTCCGTGTCGCCAGGCTCCCTGCTCAGCGCAGCGTGTGTTTTCACCTCCGTGCCGCTGAAGCAGCAGGTTTACACGGGAGTTTGGAGTGCTGGGGCTTGGCAAGAGCCCTCGGGGGATCTGATAGTGCCCGGGGGCCTGGAGCTGAGGGTGGGACACCGTCGCTGCTGTCGTGGGATGCCCAGTCTGGGGGGGGGAGGCTGAGGCTGCCCTACCTCCTCCACTGGGGCTGGGGGTCCTTCACCCCATCCCACCCAGGGTCCCCACCAGCGTGACTGGTTCGCTGAGCGCTCACTGGCGTGGGGGGGACGCCAGCGGACGCTCCTCCTCTGCGGGAGGCAGGCGAGGACTCGGGGTGGGGCTTTGCCAAGCAAGAAACCAGAGTCCGGCCAGCCCTGGGGAAGTTGCCAGGGCCGAGCACCCCGGCGAGACAGCGAGGCTGCCTGGCTGCTCCGCCGTGCACCCACGCGCCGGGCGGCCGCGCACTCCGTAAGTCTCTGCTGCCTCGGTGGGAGCATCTGGAGCGGTGCTGGGCAGGAGCCGTCCCGCTGGTGTCATGGGCTGGAGCTGCACGGGAACGGGGTGCCCCAGGGGCCTGGCGGGGGTGAGGACAGGCCTGGGGGTCCCTGTGCTGTGGGGACCAGATCGGACCCGAGTGTCCCCTTACCGCGCTGCCTGCGGGGACCCCTCTGTGCTCTGGGGCTGGAGGAGACTTGGGTTGACCTAAAGCTTTGGCTCCCAGAGTCTTGTGCTACTGAAATGCGGTTTTTCCCCTGCTCCTGGGGGATGAGTCCTGGAGAAGAGACCCCTCCCAGAGCGTGGGGTTGGACCCTGTGCTGGCTCCCGGGGGGCCCAGGACCATCCTGTCCCACGCAGCTCCGAACAGCCGCGATTTACCCACTGGGGACATTGTGCTGCCACAATTTTGCTCGTGTCCTTTGCTCGGGTGGGGGGTGAGTTCTGGCGCTGGGTTACACCCTGCCCCTCTCCGTCCTGGGGACCCCCGCAGGCAGGTGGTGAGGGGCACTGACCCATGGTGCAGGAAACCTGGCGCTTACCGTGCTGGGTGACGCGCAGCCTTTTTTCCGTGCCTCAGTTTCCCCCAGCGTTGAAAGGGGCTTCTCGCAGTGGGAGGGGGAGCCCTGGTCGTTCCCCTCCTCCTGTGCAAGCAGCCCCGCTCTCCCCAGTGCCGGAGGAAGCAGCTGGAGCCGCCTGTGTGCGGGGAGCGTCCGGCCGTTCCTCGCAGCCTCGTGGGACCGACGCTGTGTATTTACTCGCTCTCCTTCCCCTCCGCTGCTGGACTGAGTCATGGCTGCTGCGTCACGTAGCCCGTTTGGCCGGGAATCTCCTACCGAAGTGGAGGAGTTTGGCTCTAGGCGAGTGGCTCGCAGCAGCCAGCTGCTCCTGGCCACTGGCCTAATGTCCCCGCAGCGGGGTGGCTTCTGTGGATATCCCTATATCCGGGGGCATATGAGGGGTGCTGAGCTGAGAGAGATGCTCTGTGGAGGCACCCAGAGGAGGAGCGGGGAGGGCGCTGCATCCCAGTGAGGTGGCCCCTGGTTGTGCCTATCTAGCTGGGCTGCTTCGTTTCTCCACGGGGGCAAAAATCAAAAGCCCAATTTGGGGGTGAGTTATGGGGCAACGCTTGTTACCTTCTGTTAAGCCTGTGATGCTGGAGAGGCGAGGTGCGTGCCACCCCCTTTTCCCCAGGGGCTTCCTGGTCCCACCCCACGGATGAAACCGCTGCCTGTGGGAGCTGGGGGGTGCTGAGCAGCACCTTGTTTTTCATCCAGGCCAGGCCCCTGGCACCCAGCTGCCCTCCCAGCAGCCAGAGAAACCGTTGGCTACCCAGATTATAAATACGCCCAGCCCAGCGCGTGGCCGGCTGCCAAGCCTCGCTGTTCCCAGCTTGCCCCGTGGCCTTGGGGCTGCACCACAGATCGTGGAGGTCTGGGCTCAGAAATCCACCTCCAGGGTGGCCTCGGGGCGCGATGTCCCCTGGCCCAGGATGGGTCCCTGAGCCACCAGCTGCCTCTGCCCCTGCTGCTGCAGGGGAAGGGGAGGGCCATGGCAGTGAGCACCCCCACTTCTCACTCTCTGCTGTGACCTGGACAGAGAATTTTAAGCAGCCCCCAGGAGCTTGTTGTCCCCCTGAGCGCTTTGAAGAACCGGCAATAACCAGAGCTCAGCTACTGCTGGGTTCAAGTTCAGGGGAGGCGGCTCCTCTGCTCTCCTTGGCTGAGATGAGTCTCGCTAATGCCACAGCTCAGCCCAACCCTCCCTAGGAGAGAGCAGCTCGCTCTGTTTTAATTGCTTATCTCTGCGAATCGAGGAATGTTCCTGGGTGAGGTCAGCGTGGCAAGGACAGCGCCGGCTGCTGCAACAGGGGGATCTACCCTGCACCAGCCTGTTGAGATGCTAACCACCCCACCCCACCCCCCCCCCCCCCCAAAGGACTTTTGGGCAGGAAAACGGGGGTTTGCTGCTTAAAATAAACTCAGCACACACTCCAGGACAGTGCCAACAGAGGTGCTGCACCAGCTTCTGCTGTTTGAGTACGAGAGGGCTGGGAGCATCTGCTGCGCCGTGGTGGTTGATGGTGCAGTAATGAATTTAAGGAGAAGTCCTGAGTAAAGCCAAGCCTTTGTCTGGGAAGGCTGGCAGCTTTCCTGGCATTTTGTTATATGGCTTTTCCTCCGTATTTTCAATCAAAGATGCTTTGACCAAAACAAGCCGGTGTGCTGTGAGCAGTTTGGATGGGGCTGACCGTGTCTGCCCCGCCAGGCTGGGCACTCAGTCTCCAATTTCTCCCGTTCCAGGGCAGACCCAGTCATATTTATAATGGAAAAACCCCAGGTGAACACAGGAGCCTTTTAGCCTCCTGCCACACCTACAAGGTAAAATATCTCAAGGGTGGTATGAATTCCTTGAAGGTCACAGCCTTTCCCCCTCCAGGGTGGCTTTCAGGCTGTAGGGAGCAGGGGACATGGGTTGGGCGGGTGAGTTTGGCTGCTGGAGGCAGACGGGGAGCAGGGCAGGCGGGAGCCGGGGACCCGCTTCGCCCTTGCACTGCTGGAAGAGCAGCCCCGGGCCCCTTGGAGACCTGAGCATTTCCCAGGGCTTGGTGCCAACTCCAGAGGGCTTGTCCCAGCGTGCCACCCTGACCCGAAAGCCTTCCCCGAGGGATGTCCCCTGTGTTTCTTCTGCCTCCAGCCCCGGGGCTGCTGTGCGGGGTGTTGGCAGGTCTGGTGGATCGTTTTTTTTTTCCTGGTTGGATTGTGGGGTCCTGCCCCTGCCTGCCCTAAGGGGATGGTGCACGGCTGCTTCCCAACAACCCGGGGCTGTCCCTGGGTGCGCAGCTCTGGGTGCTCTGGGCAGAGGGGACAGCCCCAGGGGTGCATCCACCTCACCATCCTGGCCAGGGGATGGTGGTTTTCCCGGGGCTGTGCCCTGCCCTGACGCACCCCTTCCTCCTGCAGGCCTCAGCGTGCCGGCCCGGTGCTATGCGATGCTCCCCGAGGCGCTCCCTCACTGCTGCGCTCCTAGTCTCCTTCCTCTTCCTTCTCCTCCTCCTCTTCCTCCATGGGGGCAGCCAGCAGGAACAGGATCCCCTGGAGGTGAGTCCCCCACCAGTGCTGTCCCACTGGAGGGGCCGCTGGAGCATCCTCCATCCCTGCCTGACCCACATGGACCCCAACCCCAGCTCTGCTCCCTTCCCTGCACTGTATCACCCCCAAACCGCAGCTCTGCCTTCTCCTCTCCCTGGGGTTGCCCTGTGCAGGACGGGGGTTCCCCTTGTTGTCATTCCCCCTTGCTCACGCGTGTCCATGGTGCTCTGGGGTCTGACCTGGCTGCCTGTGGCTCCCATCCAGGTGGAGCTTAGGGGCTTGGCCCCAGCCATGGTCCTGCAGATGCTGCAGCCGGAAGGAGCCCAGCACATCCTCAGGACCACGGATGACCTCTCTGCACTCCACAATGTCTCCTACCACCTCCTCGCTGGCTCCGTGTCACCCCACAAAAGTGAGTGGCCCCGGGACCCTGGGCTGAGCAGGGCTCTGGGTTTGCACATCTCTCCTGTCACAGTTGCACATCCCGGCCTGGACCTGCCCCATCACTGCTGCTGTCAGGGCAGGGGCTGCTCCCAATCTTTTTAGGATGGGGGACCCGCTCATACATGGTGACCTCCCCCCTAGCCGGCCTTCGCTGCCCCGTCTGGGAAGGTGGAGGGGCAGAGGAAGGTCTGTGTGCTCCAAGCATCGTCCATGCTTCTGCACCTTGGGACAGGGGTGACCACAGACACCTCGGGTTTCCCCAGATCTCTGTGGGGAGGGTAGCTGAGATCCCATCTTCCCAGTCAGGAAGGTGAAGATGGTGGGGCTGGAGCACTGGGACAGCCACATAGTGTGGGAGAGGTGGGTCAAGCTCTTGGACAGATGCATGAAAAAAGCAATTCCCATACAAAGACCAGGGGAAGGAGCTTAGAGCAGCCCCACACGAGCCTGAGCTGATGCCAGAGGTCCAGTACAAGCATGGTGCCGCACAGAGCAGCGGCAACAGAAGCTGCAGGGAAGCTGAACAAATGCCGAAGGACGCCTCACCCCAGCATGGTTGCATCTCTGCGAGGTTGAGCAGGGTAGGGACCTGCTTCCAGGATGCGTAGCCACGCCACGAAGCCATCCCTGCCCCGCAGCCTGTCTCTGCACTATTCCTTCCCCAGGTTTGGCTTTTTTAAAGGTGTTTTTCCCAAGTATTTCTTCTTCAGAGGAGCCTCTGACTTCTCATCCTGTCCTCTCCCTACTATTTGGGCCAATTTTGGGTGCCTTCTGAGGTGCTGGGGGCTTCAGCTTCAGAAAGGACCTGCTGGCCTTGGACATGGGTCTATAAATAACATTAACCATTCAGGTTGGACACGTGGAGAGCTTTTTGGAGCTCCCTCCTTTGACTTGCAGGGAAAACCCTCACCGTGGTGCATCCCAGGTCACCCTCAGCCTGCTAATGCCCTTCCTTTGCCTTGCAGAATTCTTGGCAGTGGGACTGGCATCAGTGCAGCGGCCACGCGGCCACTACCTCCCGGCCACACTCCAATCCCTCTTCAAGCAGTCGACGGAGGAGGAGCTGCAGGAGATGGTGGTGGTGGTGCACCTGGCTGATGCGGACCCCGGGTGGAACACGCGTGTGGCCGCCAACATCGCCCACAAGTTCGCTCACCACATCCTCCTGGGCCGGCTCCTGCTTATCCATGCTCCCCACGAGTTCTACCCCACCCTGGAGGGCCTCAAGAGAAACTACAACGACCCAGAGGAGCGGGTGAGGTTCAGGTCCAAGCAGAACGTGGACTACGCCTTCCTCTTTGCCTTCGCCGCCAACCTCTCCTCCTACTACTTGATGATTGAGGACGATGTGTGGTGTGCCAAGTCCTTCTTGACAGCCATCCGCAAGGCACTGGCTTCCCGGGAAGGCTCCAACTGGGCCACCCTTGAGTTCTCCAAGCTGGGCTACATTGGTAAGCTCTACCACTCCAGTGACCTTCCTCGCCTGGCTCGCTTCCTCCTCCTCTTCTACCAGGAGATGCCCTGTGACTGGCTGCTGGTCCACTTTCGCCTCCTGCTCACCCAGAAGGACGTCATCCGCTTCAAGCCCTCCCTCTTCCAGCACATGGGCCTCTACTCCTCCTTCCAGGGCACCGTCAACCGGCTGGAGGACGACGAGTTCCAGGCCGATGCCTTGGACCTTCCAGACAACCCACCAGCGGCCTTGTTCACCAGCATGTCCGTCTTTGAGAACTACGAGCCCCTCAAGGCTTACAGCACGGCAGAGGGGTATTTTTGGGGTAAGGACCCAGCAGCTGGCAGCGTCTTCTCTGTCGTTTTCCAGCAGCCGGCCCGCGTGACCCGTGTGCGGGTGCGCACAGGCTCCGCCGAGCGCCGGGGTGACATCCTGCACGCGGGGGTGCTGGAGCTGGGCCGGCGGCGGCAGGCCGACGGCCGGGACTGCTCTGCCTACACCACCGTGGGCACCTTTGAGAAAGGGACGTTTGAGCAGCGGGGGCTGGAGAGGGGCACGCCCGGCCCCGTGGAGTGCGTGAGGATCCGGGTGACCCGGGACCAGAGCGAGTGGCTCATCATCCAGAGCATCGACATCTGGACCACGGGAGGCACCTGACCACCGCGGTGCCAGGGTGCCGAAGCACCTGGATTTTGCACTGAGGGCCTTTGTTCTTTCACTCCCGTTTTTGAGAAAGAATTAAATTATCGACTCCCTCTGGCGCTGCCACCCGTCTCGCGAGGGATGGCCGGCGCTGCTGCGGGACGTGCCTGGGGCCGAGAGCAGTGCCCAGCGAGCAGAGCAGGGGTGCGGGGGGGCAGCAGAGGCTTGGGCGTTTCAGGCTGGGCGGTAGAAAACATTTCCTCCTTGGGAGGATGGTGTACAGGACAAAGCTAATTGGCTAATTAATAAATCAAATCATTAACCAGGCAGTGGTATTTTTTGCAACCTCTCCACACCATCTGAGTTTTCTAACCTGACAACTCATGATTTCTAACCTGCATTTTTTTTTTTTTTCCTCTCCTATCCCCTTTTCAAGCTGTCCCTGGGAGGGGTCGGGGGAAGGTGTGGGGGTGCTGCTCACCAAACCCCTCCTCCTCCAGGCTAAGGGGCCCAGGGGTCCAGTTGCTGGGAGCAGGAACTCTAGCACTGGTGGTCCCTGATGTCTCGGTGCCGATCAGAGGGGCACCGGCCACCAGATGGACCCACCACACCAGCTCATCCAGCCCCTGCGGGTGTTCAGACCCTTCAAACAGATTTTCCCCGCCTCAAGGGGCTGCAGTTCCCAAGGACCGCACCCTGCATCCATGAGGGAATCACACCAAGGGGGGAGATGGGCTTTCTAAAATGGGGAGAATGGTCCAGTGATTGACCACCACAGAATAGGGAAAATGTGACCTCGCTGTAATATGAAGCTGTGGGTATGTTTTAGCCCAGCGAGGTGCTGAAGGGTAAGGGGGGTAGAGGCAGGCTGCAGGCACAGAGCCCTAAAAAGCTTCTGTTGAGATTTGTCTGGCAGGATCAGCTTGGAGGGCTGGATCCTGCTGGGCAGCTCGATCAAAAGCTGTTGGCACTAAGCACACGAGGCGGTGGGTGACCGGCGCCTCTCCCAACTGGGCTTTTAGCAACAATTGCTCAGCTTTAAACAAACGAGGAATTCTGATCTGCTTGGCCCTCCCACGAGACAGCTCAGAGCAGTTTGTCACCGGCTTGTGCCAAGCAGGAGCGCTCTGGGTTGCCGGTGTTTTAAGCCCGGCTCTCCTGGAGCAAAACACTCACCCTCTGCGCAGAGAGAGGCGCCCGGCAGTGCCGGGGGACCCACCCGCAGTGCCGAAACACCCGAGTGCCAGAACCACAGCTCGGTCTTGAGGCCTTGCATCAACTTGCCTGCTGGGCACCTGAAAGCATCCTGGAAAGCAGCTGCTCAGTGCTGGGAGCCCCAGGCCTGGCGTGATGGGACCTTTTCCTGAAGAAAAAGCCAGCCATGTAATAGATCTTTATCTGCATTTAATACAGAGATGCTACATGATAAACTCCAGCACCTTCCTGACATCATAAGTGTTCTCAGTGGGATCAATATACACCTTGCAGAATCACTTCAGGTTCCTCCACAGAGCCCAAGTACAGTCAGAGCTCTTGGAGTGTTTTGAGTAGCACAAGTGTCCCCTTTCCAGGGTCCCAAGACTCAGACAAGTGTTTACAGTGCCCCAGTAGAGCCTTTGCCTCAGTTCTCAGACACAAATGCTCCTGACCACACTGTGAAAGCATCAAGGGTTACCAATGTGGGTAACAAATGGAAAGCTTTCACCCCAGTATGTTTTTATGCACTGCCAAAGCAGGAAAAGATGTAACTGTAAATCAACCTTTTTTACCTGTTGGTCTCTTCTGAATGTACTAATCAGTTTTGTGATATTCACTTACACAGAAACAAACTGCAATCTCAGTTATGCTGGTGTAAATCTGGATAGATTCCACGGAAGAGTGGAAATCCACTCTGTTTACACCAGGGTAAGTGCAAGGAGCAGCTGACCACTGACCCCTCCTGCTCCTGCCAGTGCAACGCACTTGTCTGAGCACCACGAAGCCCAGTTAACGTTGGTGCAAACTGGAGAAGGAGGAGGCTTCTTCATCCTGGAGGAGCGCTACATAATTTATTCCACATAAGAATTATCCCGCTGTTTTTATCCCAGGAAGACTCAGCCAGCTTCCAAACGCTCCGTACCGAGAGCCCTGTCTCCGATGCGGGGGTGGGCTGGCCGAGACTTCAGTCCCAGCACCGCGTGCTGGAGCTGCAGCCCCTCCTCGAGCCAGCCCGCGACCGACCGGGGCAGCGGCGCTGCACACGGCCATTTACATGCAGCCACGGGGCTACCGATCAGTGCAGGTCTCAGCCGGGCAAGGGTTAAGGAGCCTCTGGGCTGAGAGGTAGAGGGCAAGGGGACAAAACCAGAGGCAAACATTTTGGTCTGCTTCTCTCTACGGAGACGGTAAATCAGAGAGGGTTAGAGCTTTCAGTCAAATACCACGGATGGCCTGAAGGATGACTAGCTGTCCGTCTCGACCAGCGGAGCTACCCTGTCTCTCGGGAAGTGGTGCCGCGTAGCTCGAAGATCTAGCTCAGCATCTTGTGGCGGTCGAAAACTGTCTTCCTCTGCTCTTGCACCTGGCGCTTCCAGCGCTGCTGGGCCCCCTCCACCCTCTCCAGCACCGTGTTGGCTCTAGCGCCAGACGGGGTGGGGGCTGCAGCCAAGGAGCGCACATCCTGCAAGGGAAAGGAACGGTGAAAGAGGTCAAGGCATGCCCAGCGCAAACACAGAACGTGGCAGCTTGATTCTGGGAGAAATTTCAACTGAAAGAGCAAGTCAAGGCTTGGGTCGTCCTGATGAAGACCCTCATTTTCAGAGCTCCTCAACACCAGCCCCGCAACTGCAGCTGGAAAGCTTGCTCTTGGGGACCACCCGTGGTAAAGTCACAGGCCCCAAATAAAAAGTTGCCAGGAGAGCAACTGCACTAACTTTAAACCTGTGCTGGAAGTCCTCTGCTAGGAGTCTGCAAGGAGCAGTGCTGCTAAAGCAAACTGCATCACCCTGCTGAAATCAGGCCAACAATTTCCGTTGTCCTCCACGCACTAGCTTACACAGTAGCTGCTCATCTGTTTCGTGGACAGTGCTGCAGGACTTTTGTCCAGCCCTCATCTTCAGACTGCTCCAAACAACCACACTTCCGCTGCAGTAACGTCAGAAGGCCCCTTGGATCCATCATGGCACACAAAGACCAAGGCAGTCACAAGGTCTATCCCAAAGAGTTTACAGTCCAGCACGTTGGAATAAGATAAACCTCACCTGATATCAGGCATTTATAGTGTGCACCTAGATCAAAACCTGAATTATTGCTGTGGAGCAGTGGAGCAAAAGCATACACTTTTGGGATAAAATTAATCTCCTCCTGCAGGACCTCCTTTTTTCAGCAGAGGGAGGTAATGGGTAGACTTCATGTCAGAGCAGCTACTCCTCACTTACATCAGCATATGAAAGAATTGGGCCAAATAGTTTACACCTACAACAAAGTATAATCAGGACAGTCTGATCCAGTGGTTTTCTGAGACTAGGAAAGGATAGCATCTTCAAACGTTGCACAACTGAGCTAATCACTGGCATCCAGAGGCACCGACTCCTAGGGAAGGGTCTCCTCATGAGCCTCCTCCCTGCAGCAGCAGCCTGGGGCTCACTGAGAGAAGGAACTCAGCTCCGGGAGAGCTCAGCCTAGCACTGACCCCACCAAACTGCCTGAATGTGCGAAAGCCCCAGGGAAAGCTGCGTGGCAGAGCCACACACTACACTAACAGGCAGCAAGTCTTGGACAGCCCTCACATGCTGCAAACAGAGCATGAGCCACAGATGCAATCAAGCATGAGAGCTAATCACCGTACCCCCAGAAAAGATGGGATCTGAGTGAAATTCTGCTCTGGGGAGAAGCACAAGGAACAAGAGCCTGCATATAACAGGGCCCAGCCCCAGAGCAGGGTCAAACAATAGCACGTCAGAGGCCGCTCTTTTGAGCACCTAGAAGAGAGGCCAGCCCCATGTTTCAGCAAATAATTAAACCCATCCTTCCCTGGAAGCTCATCATCAAGTAACTACACCTAGGACACCGCACAAACAGGAACCGTTTGACCTATGGTTTCATCTAGACGGACACACCAAATTAAGATCACTTGGTAAAGAGCCACCCCCTGCCCCAGAGGACAAACCTCATCTTGTGCTCCTAATACAGAACTTGTACTTCAGATATTCCCTTCTGCTTCAGCATGATCTGCACAGATTTGAGTCTAAATGTTCACACCTGTGCTAAGCGCCCAAAAAGCAACAGCACTGGTCCCACACTGCATCAGAAGGGACAAGCCCGAGGTCACTCTGTTTCCCTGTCAGCCATTCTCTTGTCACCCTACCACCCTGCCTCCACCATGCCCGCGGCCACCCACGTGCAGCCTCACCTCATTCTCCTCCTCGTTGTGCAGGGGCTGGGTATAAGCATCTGGCTTCCGGATCAGAGGGTCCACCAGCACAAGGAAAGCCATGTAAAGCAGCAGTGCCCCCACCACGGACAAGTAAATGATGATGATCACCTGCAGTTAAGTGCAGCACAGCGGAAAAGGATCAGTGGTGTAAGGTAAGAAGCACCACAGAGACCAGGAAGTTCCCTTCACAGCTGCCTCCGATGTTTGATCTCTCTTTCTAATTTTGCTCACTAGAAAGTCTCTTGCACTTGCGGGAAGGGTGATGAGACGCAAGTGCCACCACTGCACAAACCACGCTGACTTCCACACCGTGCCAATTTAGGACACATGCTGCTTATGGAAGAAAACCAACAAGATGGTTCCCCAGCCAGAGGTGCTTGGAACTGTCACACACCCTCAGCAACGACCACTGGGCTCCCGTGCAGCCTGCTCCTCACTGCCAGGAGCCCTCCTGACTCAGACATGGTGCCCCTGGTACTACCTCTGTGTACTAGCTGTGGTAGTTTTATTTTCCCTTTCTGGGCTCTTCTCCAGGAACCCATCAGTCTAGCTGTGCCTGGGATGGCGTGGCATGGCAAGGAGGAGTCAGCCACAGGGAGCAGACCCACAGTTACCTTGATGGTGGTGGTGCTGCGCTCCTCGTACTTGCACTCACACAGCAGGCAGTAGGCCTCCACATCATTCCCTGGCACCGGCATCGGCTCCACAACATGCAGGCAGTTGCTGCAACACAAAGAAACCAAAATCAGGATGAGGTGAAACCAATGCTCTGTGGAAAGATGCTGGGGTGACTTTTTCTGTGTCCCAGCCTTCCTGTCAGGGTGATAATGCTGATGTGGTTTTAAGAGTTCCCCTCACAGCTCAGGTAGCCCAAAACTCCTGGGATAGACTGTCCAAGTGCCTTCTGCAGGGATCTGGTCCAGGTGAAAAGGACTGGAGGTTACACCCTCCATCTGCTGAGAGCCTTGCCTTAAGAAATGATGTCTCCCAGATTCCTCAATCTCTGTTCAAAAAAATGCCCCTCGCCTGGGTTGAATACCACCTACCAAAACAGCTTCCTCTGCAAATGTACAGGCAGAGAATTAACTCCCTTAGCACCAGCTGGAAACTCCAGAGCATTGACTTTCAGGGACTGACCCCTCAGGCTTCAACCCACAACTCACCAGTCCTTCTGCGACACATTCTTGTTGTAAATGTGCCCACTGATGTTCCGGTACGGGGGACAGATGCACTTGCAGCGGATGTCCTCTGAGCTCTGCAGAAGCAAGAGGAGACGACATCAGTGAGTGAACACCGGCGTGCAGTTCTGCTGCCCTCACCACCCAGGGGTGGGGGAAAAGGCAAAACACTCAGAGAGAGGGCTTCACACCATGTCTCTTCCTGCGCTGCTTCCTTCACACCAATAACTTCCCAGTTTTATGATGTCTTGAGCACCTCTGCTCCAGACAATAGGTAGTGTTCAAATAAATTGTAAAATTAAAATACCCAAACACAGCAGAAGGCAGGGCAGAGGCACTGTCATGTATATTCACAACTCTACATATGATAAATACACAACTGCTATAGCACTCCTTACCTTTGCACGCTTCCACAGAAAAACAGTTGCTTCTCTGACATTTTTGTTTCTGTTGTACTATACACGCGGTTCAGGGCTTGCGCCTGAAACTGTTCACTCACCTTGCTGGCTTGTGCTGGATGAGAAAGGATGCAGCACAGCAGCACGATCAGCAGCACGGAGCTCGCACACTTCCGAGAGCACTGGGCAAACATCATGGAAGCCTGAGGAAACAGAAATTCACATCCAGGGTAGGGGATCTCAGCTGAACGCAGCCAGAATGAGAAAGTCTGAGCTTTCTTTTTTGGCCTACTTGCCTCTATTTTACTCAGCAAGTAGAAATTTATCCCTGAATCAAGGCCGATGCCAGTGAGAAACTCCTGGAAACACTTTACACAGATCCCAGGAAACACTCCTATCAGAAAGACTTCCACCATCTAGAGCCACATATCCAAACTATCCCAGTCCTGCAAAAAAATATTGCTGACTTCCTTACAATTTGGCCTCTGCAACTCCACATAACCTCCTGTTACTCTCTTACTGTTGTGGACATCTGCAACAGGTATTTCGCTGCTGACAGTTTTGTCCAGTAGACAAAACTGAATACAGAATAATAATAATAGAATAATAATAATAGAATTCTGAATACAGAATAATAACAGAACCAGAAAAAACATGGACCAAGAATGACCTAAAGAAGTACACTGGGGCCTCATTGCTGTACTGTATAATAAATGTTAAATCATTCATCTTCTGATACTCAGTTTTGCTTTGAGTCAGCATATGGGTCAGCATATTTTCCTCTCTTGTAAGCCATGAACTATGGCAAGCGGGTGTAATATTTACCAACTCCTAAACCTCCTTTACCTCAAGATACCTGTTGAGTAAAATCCTAATTTTTAAAAATTATTTCAAGTTGCTAGCTTGGTGAATTCATTATATGCCTTTTGCTACATATGCATAAAGTTGTTCTAGAGATGTGTGTTTGCACAAAACCAAAAGAATAGGAGTTTGTTTTCTTTGCCATAAAAAGCAAAGCTAGTCTTAGCAAGGTTGGCAACAGCATCAGGCTTGGAGACCAAAGGCACAGCAGGCCTGGTGCTACCTTGGGGAGAGCTCTGAAAAGCCACCGCAGCGCAGCTTCCTTCGGGGAAGGTAATTTACACCTTCATTAATCAGCTCCATACGGCACAACTAATCCCACAGCTGACTCCAGGAGCTTATACTCTATTACCTAACACAATTCCATTAGTATTTACATCACTGGAATATTCTATCACCGTTTATCTTATGTCAACACTCTAAAAATTAATGTTATGGATTACAAACACCAAGTTTCCCTCTTCTTTATCTAAACAAAACACCACTTCTAACAAGCTGACCTCCCAAAAACATCAAAATGCATTCCAGTCTTATCCTCTTATCGCAGGATTTCTTAACCCTTTGCACTAGTTAGCAGAAATTCCTGAAACAATGGTTCTTTCTTTGGAGACACCCTTGCACACCAGGGTTTTAGCACTTCACCTGAAATGCTGGTTAAGGTGGGACTGATCTGAGCTGTACAATGCACATTCCCCATTGTAAGTGGTTTTGGACCACTGCTTGTTTGAATTTTTAACTCAATGATGCAGTGCATACCTGGAATTTAGGTTTAGCCTGCTCAACTAAACTCAGATCATGTGAACAACTCTTAACTGTCATTTTTAATGAAAGCAGGGGAAACACGATTTAATAAAATTAGAGGGAAATACCATGTTTACCAGGAACAAAATAAAAACTTGCAATGATACCTAGACAGAGTCCACTCATCATGGCCTGTAAGACACCAGCGGCCACACAAAGGGCCGTTTCCACGCAGCTCTTTCCAAGTTTGACAGCGTATGTTCGAAGGGGCATTTGCACGCATGCCTTAGAGCTCCTGCCCTCCAGAGAGTCTGTCTAAAAGCATCTGTATCTGGCCCACAAGCCAGCAGCGCTCTGAATGACACGGGAGGAGAGGGACTCGCGTGGTGAAGGTCTCAGTGACTGAGGAGTGGGGCGGCTCCCAGGCAGGAGCCCCCTCAAAAGGAGACCCAGAGCACCACGGCACGCACCCACCCCGGGCCCCTTCTCCTTCTCCATCACCTGGAGCCCTTTTAAGATTAAATCGCGATGGTTCCGACACGTTGCCCAGCACCGCCCCACGCCGGGACCTGCGCTCTACCCTCCGCCGACAACCAACCGACCCACTCGGGGCTCCCCGGTCCCACGCCGGGAGGGGGCTTATCCCCCGGCGCCGACCCCTCAATTCCTGCCGAAGGGCCGCGGATGCTCGGCCCCTCAGGGGCTCCCGCACCCCCTCTGCGCCCCGCTCCCGCGGCCCAGCCCCTCGGGACGGCCCCGGGAATCCGGGCCGTCGCTGCCAGAGCGCCCCCGCCCACCGAGCAACGACCCCCCGGGCTGCCCCCACAGCGAGGCACCGGGCCCCGGCGGGCGGGAAGCGGAGCAAGGAAGGGTACGGAACGGAACGGAACGGAACCGGCCCGGCCTCCCCTCAGGCCGCCCCGAGCGCGACCCCCGCCCAGCCCTACCTGCCCCTGGGCACCAGCGCGGCCGCTCACCACCCCCGGCCCCAGCGCGGAAAGCCCCGCCCTCTCCCCCCGTTTCTGCTCGCTCATTGGCTGCGACGGGTGACGTCCAATGACAGGCAGTACCCGTGGCCAGTCGGAAGGCGGGCCGCCCGGCCGGGTCCTGAGGAGCTGGTCCGCACCCCCCCGGCCGCCCCACAGAGCTGAGGGGGCGGGCGGGCGGGCGGCTGGGGGGCTACCGGCGGTGAGGGGGCCAAGGACCCGGGAGTGTCTGGGCGGCATCGCCATGGCAGGGCCGTGTTAGGTGGACCTGGCGCCGGGTCTGAGCCACGGGGGAGCCCCGGTACCCCTCAGGGCACCGGCTCGCTTCTCAGCTGCCGTGCGAGGCCACCAGACGTGTTGCTGTGTGCATCAAAGGGGAAATCTCGGGCCACAGTGGTGCCCTCGGTTATGTTTTTGAGCTGATGCACGGTTATAAATGATAATCGTGATCCCCTAGGCTCAAAGGGTCTGTAATCAATCTCTTGTATTAGAAACCAATGACTCAGTTTTGCTCCATTGTTGTGCCAAGAATGTTGTGCCTTTCCAAGGCCATGGGGTCTTGTGTTTGCCCAAAGAGAACATTTCTGAGATCTGGCTCCAGAAGTATCTTGGTTTTGCCCCATTTTCTGTGGCATGAAAATAACCTCGGCCTTGGCCCCGCTCCTGTGGCAGCTACCTTGGAAGCTTCTGCTCTGCAGCTGGGTGGGTCGAATTGCTTCTCCACTCTGGCAATTTGCTGATTTACCTGAGCTCTGTGTCTGTGGTGTTGGATAAAGTCAGGAGCTAATCCTCTTTCAGATAAAAAGCATCCATTGATGGAAAGCGGGGGGGGGAAGAAAGAGACCCAAACCTCTGATTTAACTTCTTGAAACCTTGTGTCTGGTGGTTGGAGCAGCTCTGCCTTGCCTGGGGTGATCCTGGGCTGGGGGGGACCTTTTTGGGTTGTGTCTCTGTAGTGACGGGGCTGCTCTGTGCAGCACTGCAGCCCCGGCCTGCCTCGGTAGCAGGAACCTGTCTGCAACAAATGCTTTGTGGAGCCATGGGCTGTCATGGGACAGGTGTTTCCAGTCCTGACAGAGTTTCCTGCTTTCCTGAAAATAAAAATGAGAAGACTAAGGTGAGATATATTCAGGCAGAAATATGTGTAAATCACAGGGGAATGTCTGTTTGGCATAGGTAGTTTTAACTTTAGAAGGGAATAAATTGATTGGGACTGCTTGTTTTAGGGTTTTTAGAACGTATAAATTGTGGGGACTTCCATCCCACACTGCTCCATGCACCCAGGTATGGGAATTACTGATGTAAAAGCATTTTCTCACCCCATTGCTGTAATGTGTAAAATCCTGACCCTGCCACGGCTGGATTCCTCCCACACTCAGCTGGAGTCAGTTACGGGACCACAGCCTACATCAGCTGGATGGATCCAAGGAAATACTCCATAAGAATAATCCTGGGTATTAGATGCACAAAGGACTTCTAATTCCTTCTTCCTACTCCAGCGTTGCTGAGCGGAAGAACCTCTTTGGTGCTAAATTGAGGATCTCACTTCAGAGCAGAACCTTAGGCCTGACAGCAGGACACTGTCAGTGTTGTGACATGACTGAGTTTTTACAGGTTTAAAAGCCAGACAACCACAGGGATTTTATGTTACCAGCTTTCCCAGCATGATTGGTGAGGAGGTATTTTTATCTTCTCTGACAGGCTTTTGCAGCCCAAAGGCACATATCACTGCTTCTTGTGGGGCTGCAGTAAGCTGGATAGACACCTGGAGAAGCAGCCTGAACTGGTGACAAGGCATGGAGCAATCTCCTTGGAGTGAGTAAAGGAACAGTGCAGGCACCTGAGACACCCAATGCAGGGATCAGGTTTTTAGCTGAGAGCCTCAAAGACAAATTGAGCTTGAAAGTTGCATTTCAGTTTCAAGAACTCTTTTCAAGAGACTGGTTTCTGATTCCTTGGAAAGGAAGGTTAGCTGCATGTGCATTTCCTTTATAGTTATGGGAAGGAGATCTTGCACACACCTCCAGGAGACCTTTTTCTGTTCCCTTTCTTGCTGCCTTTCCCCCTGCCCAACAGCCTTCTTGTCTATCCCAGGTGACTCGGACACAGCGGGCTCAGTTGTCTGCTGGATGTCATCCCTGTCGCTGTGTTTAAAGCCCAGCGTCAGTGAAAAAAGAGAGAGTTTGGCTGAAGGGAGCAGGATTTGCTGCTTTATTTCTCCCTACCCATTGCTCAGCCTTGTCCTCATTTGTAAGTGCACCACTATACAGATCCAACAGATGTGGTCATGTTTCATGAATTTCTCAGAGTGCTGAATGCAGGTCTCTTCAAAAATCTAGCTGCAGTAGTGGATCCTGAACCCTTAGAGATCTTGCCCTGGATTCTGAGTAATTTGGATTGATGTTAGCCACTGAAACTGGCCTGCAGAGATCTGCGACTTGCACAGTGGTCTGGCAAGAGGCTTCATCGTACTTTGGAGACCGCAGAATTAGCAATGACTTTGTGGGGCTGTTCATTCCTAATTTCTCCCTCTCATTTTGTTGGCAGCAGACAAGTGAGAGAGGTGCCTCAGAGGAGCTTTCTGTAGGCAATGTCCTGGGAATAGAGGCCAAACACAATTCATGTGGCATGGAGGGAGAAGGAATCAGAGATCAGAATAGGAAACAAAGAAACACAAATATGTAGAAGAGGGAAAATGCATCAGATGTCGCTGTTAATGCCCTGAACTTTCCCCTTACTGATGTAATTAGTTGTTACTGGTATTTGTGGTGTCAACTTCTGAAGGACAGGTGGCATTTTTGTTAACATGACCAGTGGCTAAGGACACA